GGGAGGGGAGGGACTGGGGAGGCAGACACTTCAGGCTCCAGAGCAGGTCCACTGAGGAATGAGGCAGACCTTATTGAAGGGATGCAGGCCTGGGGAGCTGAGCCCAGTTCTCCTGCTGGGTCAGGTGAGCAGGAATGGTGCAGACAGGTGGAACCCTGGACTTAGGCATCAGAAAGCCTCGGGTTTGGTGTCTGTCCTTCTAGCTACCAGCTGTGATCTTAAACTAACTGATAAATCTTTCTGAGCTTCAATCTCCCCAAGAGTTAAAAAGGAGAGAACACCTACTTAAATGAGACCATGAAAACCACGCAAGCACTTCTACACTGCAAAGCACTAGTCCAGTCTGAGGTGGTAATGTCACAGTTGTGGACACAAAAATCTGTCTGAAAGTGTTTGTTTTGCAGCATCAGGGCAAAGCTGTGTGCTGGGGACAGGGGTGCTACACCTAGCTCAATGACCCACCCCCATGCTATCTGACTTGCCTGTCAACCCCTGCTTACCTTGGAAAGAGCTGTGTGACCGGAAGTCATGGTATACGAAACCTAAGGCGAAAATCAGCACCAACAGGAGTAGTCGTGTCCAGGGCGGCCGGAGGCCCCGAGCCTGCTGCAACAGACTCTAGGAGGAAAAGAGGCAGGAGCAGTGCTTACAAGGGAGAGGGGTCCTCAAGCTAGGCCTTCCAGGGAAAAGAGCAAGCCCTCATAATCCCCAAGGTAGTGGAGGCTCCAGGGACAGGTGGGGCAGGAATGTGATATGGGCCCAACCCAGGGTGTGCCAAGACAGAGATGCAGAACAGTGTGTGGGCAGGGGACGGCTGGGTGCTGACACCTTGCAGGCCGAGTCACAGGTGACAACATCCTGGTTATTACAACTGTCTTTCCTTAGCAGCTCCTGGTTGGTAAGCTTGAAGGACTGAATGGTTTCTTGCAAAGACTTCTGTGCCTATAGGATAAGAAACATCTGGGTTGAGAGTGTAAGAGTTGGCCCATGAGGGGACCCTGAACCTCCACCATGCTTCATTTCCCATGCCCAATGTACTAAAAGAGCACCTTCTCAGGGAAGGGGGGACAGTGGCTGGGGGTACGAACCCAGAACCCAGACGAGGCTCAGCCTGCCATGTCCTTCCAGCTCCTCACCTTCTTGGGAATCTGCTCCCAGGACCTGAGCAAATGCTCCAGCAGCAGGCTGTGGGAAAAGCACAACCCCTTCCGATCAGGGGGCCCACTTGGCCCTTCCCATCCTCCATTAGGCCCCTGGCTGCTTCAGGCTGAAAGACTGAGCCTCCTACCAGCAGAAGAACAGCTTCCACAAGACTACGGACAATGTTCCCACTAAACTTGAGAGGCATGAGCCCCAACAACAGTAACAAACGTTCCCCTTCTGCTTCTAGGACAGGGACAGGCTGGGAGGCATGAACTAAGGCTTCTCTGTGGTGAGAGGTAGGTGACCCCCGCCCCCAACCTGCCTGGATTGTGACAGGTGCTTGGGGTACAGCTGCCTCCAAACACTGGCACTGAGGGGGTCCACTGTCAGGCATTCAGTCAGGCTGCTCAGGAGCTGCACAGGAGACAGGAGAGAGAGAGACTGCTGGGCATGGGGCTGGTGGAGAAGAGAGTGCTGAGAAAGTAATTCCCTTCTCCTAAGAGAGAACATGCAGGCAACAAAACCACCCTAAAGGGTGGAGAAATCGTGCCTAGGTTCCAGAAATCTCAGAGGCTCTAGAGGGGGAGGCTGGGGTCCTGAGCTAGACCTTGAACTCCAAGATCACTCATCTGCAAGAGGGAAGACCAGAGAGCAGCCAGACCTGAGTGCGCTCTCCTTTCAGTTGTTCTTCAGAGGGCAGAACATGACAAGAGTAGGGCAGGGGGCTGTCAGGAGGGAGCTAAGGGATGTTCAGGAAACGGATCCACGAAGGCAGGGCCTTTGTCAGCAGATAGGGGCCTCTGCAGCTGACCCCTGGAAGGGAAAAAGGAGCCTCCCACCATTTCCTCACCTCTTTCTTCATCTCAGGAGGGCAGTTGGGGGTGGCTCTGGACAGGAAGGAGGGGAAGTAGATATGCAGGGTGGATTCCGGCTTTGCCCCAAATGCCAGCACCTTCAATCGGGGGTAGAGCTGACACAACTGCTCCTGAAGGCTGGGGTAGGAGTGGGGAGGAGAGCCAGGCATATGCTCTAAATGGAGTTGTGCACCATGTCCCTTTTGCCTGCCTCGGAGTCCACACCCTACCTGAGGATGGGAGTCTAAGGGCTTTGTGATGGCTCTGAATCTTTTTAGACTTAGAGACTCCTTGGAAAATCTGCTGGAAGTCACAGATCCTCTCCCCAGGAAAATGCCCACATGCCAATCATACTCAAGGGTCCATATAATTTCAGGGGGTTTACTGATCCCTTGAACTTGCAGGTTGAGAGATTTAGGGTGGGTGAAGGGACAGGAATATATTGCCTGCTTTTAACCCCTCACTGGGATCCGTCACAGCAGGTGGGTCCCAGAGTGATCCTACCTGGGTGTCAGAGAGTTGTTTGGCATATAGGCAAAGTCCAGAAGTGGGAATAAGTCCTTGGGGCCAATCATGCCAAAGCCCTTGGTAAGATTGGGGTGCATCCTGTGGGGGGAAGAAATAAACAAGCTTGTTGGAGACCACAACCTAGGCCATGATCCTAGCTAAGACCAACATCTAGGAAAAAGGGCATAAACTCTACCCCCCACCTAACCCCTTAGTGGTTCCCTCCCCTTCCTTCGTCACCATCACATTCTGAGCTGGGAGGAGCTGGTCCTGATTTTCCTCACCCTATGGAGACCAGGATCCCAGCATCCCATTTTACTGAAACAGCCACTTGGAGACACCTGGGCCCTCCCCTTGCCGTCCCCCCACTACTCACAGGAGCAGCCGATCCAGGTATGCAATGGCGAAGGGGGACAGGGACTTGATGCCCAGCACAGGCAGCATGATCCCCAGCCACACTGTGAAGACAAAGGTCAGGGAGGAAGCCTCAGGCTCAGATCCACTGGGGACATTAAAGAGGAGCTTCCTGGCTCCAAGACCATCCCTTTCTCTTCGCCACTGCCTTGTTACCTTTTAGTCCCTCGGTGAGGTTGGCAAAACCTGCTTGACCCAGGGCCCACATGATGGTCAGACACTTTGCCGGTCGATTCTGGTGGGACCTCAGCAGTTCCAGGAACTGAGGAGACCAGTAGGAGAGGCAGGCTGGGATAGGGGAAAGCATCAGGAGCACCCCCAAAGTGAGGCAGGAAGAGAGCTGTCAACTGGGAGATGGACAGGCTGAGGTACAGTGGAGCACTATAGTAGTGTGATGCAGAGATTCAGAGCATGGGCTCTGGCACCAGACTGTGGCCTTCACCCATACTTGCCACTTACTAGTTGACTGACTCTAGGAAAGTTACTGAACCCCTCTGTGGCTCAATCTTCTCATCTATAGAATGAGAGTAACAGCAGTACTTGCCTCGTATATATACAAAGCAGACACAGCGCTAATAGTGCCAGCTATTGACTGGTCTTACAGGGTTTTCCACTAGCCCTTAATTGGGTCCAACAGTGTAGATTCTGCCCAGCCTCCCTAGCCCTAGCTTTGTGGTGTCCCTACCACCACCCTGAGCTCACCTTGCCCAGGTTCATGGTGGCAACCTTGGGCTTGTCTTGCAGAATGGCCTGGATACAGATACGGTAACCATGTAGCGATTCCCCTGGAGAGATACATGTTCTTAGACCCACACACAGGAACAGGCATCCCAAACCTGAAATCTCCCTATTGGCAGCTGTGAACCCAGAACCCAGAGCCCAGAACCCAGGCCAGCAAGTCCTAACTTCCTTCTTCCTTTCCAAAAGTGTCAGGATTAACATGTTTCCCTACTAGAAACACCACCTAGCTGCTCCTGAAGCAAGAAAAGGAAATAGGCCCCCAAGATGGGGCTGGGCTATCCCTCATGGGCCCCTCTCACCTGGCGTCTTATCCAACTCTTGCAGCATGGTGAACAGACAGTGGTCAAAAAAGAGCTCCAGAGACCCTGCTGCCTTTGCCAGTAGCCCTCGGATGATCCCACGCAGTTCACGGCTCACCAGGCTATAGGGATAATCTAGAATAGGCCTCCACATGAGTGCTAGCACCAGCAACCTCCCAGCTCTGAGCACACTGGTGTGCTAAGAGCAGTGAGTGGAGCAGAGGTCCCTGCACAGAGGCTGGCATCCTCCCTACCCCAATAAGGCCCAGAACTTTCACAGCCATGATCTGAGAACAGCCCCACCCACATAAATCATGGCAGTAGAGGGCACTAGGGTCTGTTACTAAGTAATGTGCTTACACATAGCCATTTCAGAATTTTCTTGAACTTGTCGGAGCTTGAGGGAGAACTAACCGTGAGTATGCTGGCTTAGTGTGGGTTCACTTAGAGGTGCTTGGAGCTTGTAGTTGAGATAGCTGGCCAGGTCCTTCAACCACACGGATGGGTTCCCAGAGAACACACTCTGGCTCTTATCCAGTTCCTTCTGTAGAGCTGCCACGTCCAGCTACCAGGGACACAGGCCCCACATGGTCAGTTGTGGGTGAGTTGTGAGTGTAGAAAAATGGGAGATAGAGGTGGGAAAATGGTTGAACTAGGTGGTGGTAGGAAGAACAAGGGGTTTCTACTTTTTATTATTTATTTATTTTTTTTGGGGGGGGGTGTTTCTACTTTTTAAATAAGGATGTGGAATGCCACAATTTTGGTGCATCCAGATTTTTAGAAAGTTTAGGACAGCTGGAATTGCTGATCTTAAGGCCCAGCACTCTTAGGCCCTTCACATGTTCAAGGGGAAAAACAAAGAACAAGATGCAAAATGAAAGATCACTGCTTCCATGGGGCGAGGAACCACAGGTTTCCTAACCTCTCCTTGGTATCTCTGGGTTTCAAGGATCTCTTCTCACTCATCTATGTTTCCCTAGAAACTTCTCATTTCCTTTTTATCCTGAGCAAACATTCTATCCCTTGGGGTTTCCATCCTTCCCTGAATGCCTCCTGCAACCACTGGGGCCCCAAATTCCACAGGTCCCTCAGCTGCCCGGCCCCTCCTGCTCCTTTCATCTTCTCCACACCCCAGGCCCCCATTCTTTGCCCACTGACCACCTAAAGCCCAGCCACACTCACAGCTCTCAGTGCCTCCTCCAGGCTGCGGAAGCGGCCCTGCTTGGGGTTCTGGTGGGTGAGGGCCGCAGCCTTCTTGGTCTGCTTTTTGTTCGCAGGCTTCTTAGGCTCCACAGCGGGGGGTGGAACCTGCTCCTTATTCTGCTTCCTCATGATTTTCTCAAAGCCCCGCTCGTAAAGGGTGCTTGTCGTCTGGATGGGAGCTGAGGTGGTAACAGGCAGAGAAAGAGGGGCCACCCCTGGGTCATGAGGACCTCACGGGAATAGCGGTCCCTTCTCTCGACCTGTCAACTAATTCATCACCAGGGAGGAGCTGCCTCAAAGCCCCTCCACGCTGCCCCGCTTCGGGAGCAGGCCAGGGAGCCCTTTGGGCTGCTGCTTTCAGTCATCGCAGCTCTCGAGTCCATGGGCTCTTTCACGGAGCTGAGGCATTTACTAGTAAATCGCAGCATGTGGGAACTAGTGGAGGGGCTGGAGACAGAGGGTGGGCTTCTCTGTTGCTAGTCTGGGAGGTCAGGATTTTCCCATCTTGGTTCTATCCCAGGTCCTCTTGGTTCAGATGCGACAACTCTCTGACCAACAAGTGGCACCCGTTCTCCACTCCTCCGGGAGATTTTGAGGAAACAGGCACCACTTAGACTAAGGCTTGGTGGGCGTCTGGAGCGTGNCGTCCGTCCTCCCCTCACCCCACCTGCTGGTTGCTGAAGGAGGGGGCCCCCTACACCATGAGCAAGGATGCCTCTCCCCAGCTCTCGGCAGCCCGCCCAGGGAGGCCAGACCAGGGCCCGGTAACGGCTGGCAGGGTGTGTGCGGTGCGCTGGGCGTCCGCAGGGCGGAATCCTAGTCCCCTCTGACAGGTGACCCTGGGCAAGGCATCTAACTTCACTGGGCCTCAGTTTACTCATCTGCGAAGCCAGGACCTCTCCCGCGCTGTCTACCATTTGTGAGGCTCAAGACACAAGGCAAGGGGAGCGCTCGCTGAACCGGGAGGCGCCGACTGGCGGGAGAACTCGCGCCTGGAGGAGTCCGCGGTGTTCGGCCGCTCGGAAGCCCCCTGGAGG